ATTGATTTTGATAAAAATCAAGACTTTCGAACCCATATGTCACGTATTTCAATGGGGACGTACTTCAAATACGTGTTTCCCATTTCGCAAAAAATGAATGAATAGTGATTACACTATACAAGGTAAAGGGGCGCCGAAGGCGCGACCATAGCTAACTCGCTAGCAAAAAATATTGTTACTTGTTAGAGTAGACTCTGGATAGGCTGCTTGCAGCATGTAAAACTTCGACCCCGTTTTTCCGAGTTTGAAGCAAATTTTAAAGAAAACTTCTTGCTCCTTAAAGTCGTCCATTCTTGATTCGACGATTATCTGTGTCACGTCCGACTGCGCAGGCTATACGGCGAAAATGCAGAAAGTAATTCCTGGGGGTATTCAAGCTAATTATATATGAGGGTGAGTCAAAAAGTAAAAGGACATCAGCGTAACATGAATGTAACGTTACATCCTTGTTGTTTCTTGCTGCAATGACGGATCTTAGAAAGTCAGTCTCTAAACTTTTTGAACGCACCTTGAGTATCGACGGACTAACGAACTGCGTATTAATAGACTGATGACCATTGATAGACAGCAAATGGAACTACTTCTCTGCCATCAGATTGACAAGAAAGTCATATCTGTTGCAACAGCTATGAAAACGTCTTTTATTGTTTCATAGTCAATCAACATCTACACTTAGGGACAAATCAAGAGTCTCAAATGTTCAACAGTCAAGAGCAAAGCATTTTCTTAACTTAAAGTCGAAATTGGGTGACTTGGTGGCATGAAGAATTAGCTACAGTATTAGTAAATGTGAATGTTATCAAAAGAACAAGTATTTGAAAAAACGATCTTTAGAGATATACTACAGAGTGCTCCATGGACACATATACATCTTTTTAGTTATATCTCAACTAAGGCCTTATTCTCTGAGACTTCAACAGCTGCAATTGAGGAGTGCTCTGGAAAAGGGGCGAATGGGCACAGACGCCCCTTTTTTCCATATCCGTGTCCTTGCGCTGCTTTAGGTGACTAGTCATATGGTAGGGTGGTCAGCAAATAGTTACGATGCGTATTCAGCAAAGGAGTAGCAGATTTTCCTATGGTCTCTACTAGTATATAAAGCGGGCCAACAGCTTGATAATTTCAACATGACTCCCTCGACTCCCGCACATGCACGCTGAACAGCTTTGGTGGAATTATTTTTGTCCTTTCAAACTGAAAGTGAACATGAGGAGGAAACCAGTCGTGAAGAAAGGGAAAAAAAAGAGGCTTAGTCATTTAAGCCTCTGGAAGGATGTGGGAAGTTGGAAATATCCATGAAACAGTTCCAGTTTCAGATGATGAATAGAATATTAATTAACCACTGCCGAGTAATTGGTGAAAGAAACGTGTCCTGAAAATTCAGTTTTATTTCTTTATTTTTTAGGAAGAGTATATTTGTCATCTGAAGATGCATTTCTTGGTAAATTATTATTTATTAACTGGAAAGTAGTGATGAATGACTTGTTGGAACAAAGTTTCAGCAGCGCGGATATTGTAAAGGGGCGCTTGTGCATAACCATTTTCTGCCTGCATCCAAGAAATGAGACAAAGAAATTACTTAAAACCCAAAGTTCAACTGGGAAAAGAACCAAGATACCGCTTAACTGAAAACTGAGTTAAGACCAGCTGCAGATGCGCTATGGGAAGTTTTTATCTTTCATTTCGAATTGCATCTTTTGCTCATTTGGCCAGAGAACTCCTCAATTTATAAGGCGGATGATGTCTCAGATGCAAGTGTCATCATTCATTAGAATATTTATTGCAATAGAAATGCAAAAAAATAGAATCAGCATCTTTGGAATATGATTGCCATATCTAATCATTAGTGGAATTGATCACCTTAGCATTGATATTGCATCATATTCCGATCACCGCAATTATGACTCGGGAGTGTTTCGCTTTGATCCATCTGTCCATGGCTGAGGCTGGGGGCGTCGGTGAAGCGCAAAAAGAAACCTGGATGGCATGGTCATGCGAAGGGATCCATGCATCTTTACTTTTGGCATCGGGAACGCGCGAACGGAGACGGTGACATCATGGTCATGAGTCCGTGGGGGGGTTGTCGGTACTGGTGACGTGCAAACGGGGAAATATAATCCATGTTAGATAACACATTTAGTTCGCTAGGGGGTAGGCCTGGGGGTTGCAGGATCTGACGTCGGGTTGTCTGGTCGTAGGCTTGCGTAGTCTGGCTCTGCTGTTGCAGGTGTAGCTCTGTGTTCTGCGTTGAATTTTGTTTTCTCCGCTCTTCTTGCTGGAAAGGCAACAAAGTAGAAGGCTGCAATGTAAAACTTGGTTATGAAGAAACCTCGGTTATAACGGCGAAGAGTGCCAGGTTCCGGCGTAGAGCCCATAAGGTACGTGAAATTTTACCTCGGTTATAACTAGCTCGGTTATAGCGTGAACGTCGGTTATAACGATGTCCATTCAAGGTTCCACTGGCGAAATAGACAACGTTCGTGTCTCCAATTCGTCATTCTCAACTAGAATTTCCATAATCGAAAGAGTGAGCGAAAGATAAAGTTATAGCAAGCCATTACTCCATCTTTCCAGAAATCAGCATTCCTTGAGGGTCATGTAGGTGTGACTGGAGGAGGGTAAGTGAGAATCTCCAGTAACTAAAAAGATCATATTGTCTTCAGTCGCCATTTGCATTTCTCGTTGACGACATGACCAGTGAAAAGCAAAAGTGGCAAGTTTTCACACTTAAAAAAAGCATAATTAGTTTAATAGGAAAGGGGCGAAGTATAGCTGACGTCTCTCGTGAACATAGACTTTCTATTTTATTTACATCCACAATTTGGAAAAATCGTGACAGCTTCATCCGTACTTAGGGGAAGTACATGCCACAAAACAAGAAACTTATCTGCTCTAGATGGAATGAATAAATCCTTGTTAAGGTTAGTGTGGGCCGATTAGTGGGCCAATGCTTCAAGCGAAGTCGGTGCAGCACGACGGATATGCACTAAAAATGTATATGGGGTGAGTTCTGCGGATCTCGGCACTCAAAGCAAATACTTCACTTCCACCTTGCATGCTGGTTTTCGTAATGGAGCATCCTAGTTCATATTGGGTCTGGTGATACCTTTATTATAAACCTTGTTGTGCCGCAAATCTCAAGTGCCCCAGGCCTTTCATTTCCGAGGGCCTGGGTCAAAGGTGAAGTTGGGTTAGATGCTGGCAATCTCGGCACCCTTGCTGGTATAGACGGCACCATACAGTCGGTAATCTCGGCACACTTATGTATCACTGTCGTTTACAACGGACTCAAAAATGAATACAACGACCAATTAATACAATACCTAGTGTGCAGAAGAACGGAATGTGCAAAAGCTTAGCAAAATCACAAGATTTCGCAGGATTTTCGGGGTGCGCTTAGAGAAAGTGGTCATTGCGAGACAACTACAACAGTAAATATACATTTTCCAAACACTTGTTAACAACATTAGTCTTACCATCTGAGAATACTGATCTATCCGTGCCCATGGGACTAGTAGTGAAAGCAGTTTTTTGACGATTCCACAGTGCCAACAAACGCAGCACTTACCCTAGCATCTATTTTTAAAACACGGAAACGGAATATCAATAAAAGCAACCTCGGTTATAAGGACGATTTGTCCCTGGTCCCTTCAGTGGCGTTATAACCGAGTTCGACTGTATTTTTAAAATATCAACAATGAAAAATGAAAGCGAGCATGAGAAACTGCAAATTATCATTGCTACCTTTCAACCACGTGCAAATGGACCAACTCTAAGATGATCTGGTGAGGCTCAAGTAAAAGAAATAGACTAACGACCAGGTTGACTTCACATGGTTTTCGCTTTCTTGTGTCGCAAACAAATACTCGTATAATCCCTCTGAAGGATGCTCAATGTCAAATATGTTGTGTATCTTGTTTAACGCATCTACCCATTCGACAAGCCCAGCCAGAGATGCAAACAGGTTCCTGTACAATTTGTCGATATTCTAAACCACTTAGGTACTCTAGCAAATGCAGGTACCATAACCAAAACTACCAGAAAAGTCCTCTTTAAAAATTGGCAGTATTGTGAAATGACCTGTTATTACGCAATTAACTAATTTTTCATGGAACGATTTGTCGTATCCATTTCTTTATATAACTCTACCTTGCTTCAGAGTGAATACAACCTCGAATTTGATCAATATGGTTAATCATTCTGAAAGAATTAACATCACTCTGAATTATGGCCACCTTTGACAGGGAGGTTAGAGCGTAGTTAAAATGACCAAAAACTAACGTTTCGATATAAAATTATTTAATCTTATTCCAGAAACATGGAATATTGTGAAATCCACACTATACTAACTTTGAAAATTCAAGTTTGCATTTTTTTTTACTAAGGAAATCTGAATCACCTTCATCTCCTTGAGATTCTCTTCACTCACCTCTGTATCCGCCCTTGTTTTCTTGGTATTTTTCTTATGCTCCTTCGAAGTCATCTCAGTTTCTTGAACATTCATTTCACGCACCATTGTTGCCATCTCCGTTTTTTCAACTTGCTTCCTACGTTCCTGCAAAGCGCACACTACCTTTCCTATATTCTCCTCATGTTGCTGCTCGATCATATCTGTTTCTCCCGTGTTCGCCACATGGTTAGATTCAATCTCCCGGTTCTCGACACCCTCCTTATGCTCCAGGGCATTCGTTTCGGCATCCTCCATATACACCTTATGTGCCTTCGAAGCCATCTCCGTTTTCCGCATATTGACCGCATGCTCCTCTGAAGTAATCTTCGTTTCCCCTACGTCCACTTCACGTGCCATTGGAGCCGTCTCCATTTCAAAATTATCATCGTGCTTCTCCGAAGTCGTCTCCGTTTCTTCAACATTCTCCTGATGCTTCTGGACAGTTCTATCCACTTCCTTTACGATGTCCATCATAGTCTTCCACCTCATTTGAGCTTCCTCCTGTAACTAGACATCCTCAGCGAATTGAATTCCCGAAAAAAAAAGCCTTTCCTTCCGAAAAATTGGGCTTTTCCTTATGAAAGAGAAGAGTCACGAAGAATAAGGGATATGATACCACATCTGCTTCAAGGGAATCTGAGAAAAGTAAGAAATTTGACTAGATTGTAACGCGACATCATGGTTATGAGGTGTGAACCTTTAGTTGAATTTAAATATCAACTTATATAGCATCACCACCTTGAGAAAATCTTTCATCACATCTGTCTTATGGAATTATTGGTCACCCTGCATATTTATATGTGATGTAGCATGTAATTCAAGGCAGCCTTAAACTAGGGTAGATAATTGTATGACCTTGACAAAGCTTTCCCCAATATATGATACGATAGCAAGTCTGATGAAAGGAAAGCAACGCGAAGACAGAACGTAATAAGTACCTTTTCGACATGATGTCTGGTACCATTAAGGGAATAACTTTGAAAAAGTAAAGTCTGAAATGAAGCTCAAACAAACGAGGCCTCAATGAAACTATTTAAATGAAATTACTACAATACCTTGAAGAACAAACACATGTTAGAGATACATGTTAGTGCTAAACATTTTTGGAGCAATAAAGGCTCTAACTTAATACATAATGAATGAACCAGATACTATTATGACTCACAATTATTTTCATTTTCTCGTGAATCTGGTTGGTGAGTCTCGTCAGGTCGCCCTCTCCCTGTTCAGCATCCTAGTCATCACAGCAATGGAGTAATTTTGCTAATCATCACTTAATTGCACTTCAGAAATTTTCACGGCAGTTTTTCTCATTTGCCTTTTTTGTTGCACACGATTTCATTTGAGACTGCTGTCAAAACTTTCAAGCACACTCCATTAAAAACCAGCGATCGAGGTGCCAAAGTAGGAAGCTAATTTGCATGTTGTCAATGTGAACTGCTGCATAATATGAGAAGAGACTCACGTGCAGAGGCAATGGAATCACAGCATGGCTAAGGAGGTCATCCGTCGGTTCCACTGGAATAAAAGACATGCAATGTTTCAAACTAGAGCAACAAACAGTTACAATCATGATATATCCATTGACAGAAATTTAGCTAAGTTCCGGTTCAAATAAGAATCTTCCTTTATGAGTAGGAACAGTTTTATGTGTCAGCGCCGCCAAATTGGATGCTCCTTGATTAAATCCATGCTAGTCCACATTCCATCTTCCTTTAAAATCCTAAAATACACTGTAAGAAATTCAAACCTTACAAAAAGAAACAGCGAAAATAAAATAATTTTGGGAGAATAAGAGTAATCCGCAGCTGCTAACACTGAAAAACAGCATCAAACACGTCAGCCGAGCCATTACATTGGCTCCGGACATGATCATAATCTGGCAGCATCCACGTAATGGTTTTTGGCATCCAGAAGAAATTTTATACCTAGCTAAGATGCCCCTTAAATGAGCTCTTTCAATATGGCATAATGGATGCAGTACACGATTGATCAAATTATTAGTTGCTGAATAACCCACCTGGCTATATGAAACCGCGATGCTTATCCAAGTTTCGGCAAAATCACTTTTGTAATTATGTCAAGGAAATATTTTGCTTCCCTTGATACGTTGACCGCCATGGCAATGCCAGCTTATTGATTTTCCCATTCAGTGAGGCGCACCGGTGCGCCTCGTGGCGGTGAACCTCTTAATATTGCGTACCATTGGGATGATATGTAGGTAAGCCAGTCTGCGTGGGAGCAATCTTCTCTTTCTCAAATTCCTCCCAGGCAGCCTTCCTCTCCTCCTCGGTCAACTCCTCATCTTCCTTGTTCTTCAATAGGGAATCATGAGTATGGTAGGAGACGATCCAGTGCCTCTGTCGCTTCCAGAGCCTCGCGAGGAGACGGTCCCTTGGGACGGGTGGAATCTTTTGGTCGTCCCCATACGGGTCAAAGCGGTACAGTTCTCGAAGGTCGGCCGCGTTGAAGTGCCGCTCGATTTGCTGC